TTCCAGTTTCTTCATATTCTGGTCATTCTAGTGAGTGTGATGTGATAGCTCATTGTAGTTTTATTTACATTTCCTTGATGTTTAATGAAATTGAGCATCTTTCCATGTAGCTAGCCATTTGTACATCTTCTTTGAAGAAATGTCTGTGTATATCCTTTGCTTGTGTTTTCTTTGGGTTATTTGTCTGTGTTTCCTGTCTTTTCATTTGGGTCTGAACAGGATGCTGATATGTTAACTGGTGATGAGCAAGTATGGAAGGAAGTTCAAGAGTCCCTGAAAAAAATTGAAGAACTGAAGGCAAATTGGAGTATCCTTTGACCTGTGTACTAAGTTGAACTGTTTGGATTGCTTATTTATTGGTTTGAGCCTGGTATCAATTGGACTAAATACAGTGTTTGACCTCACCATGATCCTTGCTGTGTTTCATACTCACAAGTTATATCCTGACTAGGTCAACAATTTGAGTAATGGCTAGGGGAGATTGTGAAAAAATCATGAATACCTCACCACCATTAGATAGCAACCCAAAATTCATGGTTCAATAACATTAGGACAGTAAGTAGTATTCTCTTTATATGCAAATGATTCCCATCTCCCATAACTATCTACATCTCTAGAATAGAATAGCTTAGAATCCTTATAATTTAATGTCATTGACCTTCAGATCTAGAAGCTTCATATTATCCTTAACTATCATGGCAAGAAGAGTCAATGCACCAAAAATTTTCTTGGCCTAAATAATAAAGACCATGAGTAGATCAACATTCAGAGTAAAGAGAGATTATTTATGATGGAGATCATCATGTTAGGTCCCATTGATGTTATATGTTGTGAGAGGTATGATGTTTCAGGATAATGCACTGGACCACAAGGTCAGTTTGAACTGCAAGATTGGTGGTTCAAACTCACTAGCTGACCCACTGGAGAATGCTTTGTCAGTCTGCTTCTGTAAAGGTTGTTGTTAAATGCTTTCAAGTCAATTCCAACCTATGTAGGGTTTCAGAGGAGCGGCTGGCGAGCTTGAACCACCGACCTTTGTGGTGTAAACCGACTTTGCAGTCCAGTGCCTTAACCCACAGCCTTGGAAACCCTATGGGGCAGTTGTACTCTGGCCTGTTAGGTTGCTATGAGTCAGAATGAACTCAACAGCAATGAGTTGTTGTCTTTTAAAATTGTACACATACGCACAACGTAGCGCATGCTTACAGACCCCTAAATTCTATTATATAGAGACACATTTACATACACATCTCCACGGCCTCACCCTGCTCTTGGGATCTGTTTGCTGTGGTTTTCCGTGGCCCTCAGGTTTTTTTCTGACATGGAACACCTGAGCAATGGGCTGACTTTGGCAGTGATTCTCATAGTGTTAATTCTGTAAACTTTCCCAGTAGTCACGTAAGAATCTCCGGGGAGATGTATATCATTTGAGAAAGTCTACTTCTCTTCCCATTACCATCACACACCCCAACCCCAGGCCATGATTTCATTATCTTCCTTGGACGGTTTTTCTCCTGACACGCATTAAGAATCCAATGGGTGTTGGACACCTGGTGAAAGTTTCTTACCTGGTTTTGATTAGCCCCTTGAAAACAGTGCTGTCAAGTAGCTTGCAGTGATGAAGGAATGATTTGTAACTATACAGACCTATATGGTGACCACAGCCTCGTGTGGCCATTTGAGATGTAACTAGTGCAACTGAGGAGTTGATTTCTTTCTTTTAGTTAATTTAGGTAGTTAGATGTGGCTAGTTGCTTATGTGTTGAACAATGCCACTTGAAAGAGCCAAGCCTCTAGTGAGCATGCTAAAGAGGCCAAGGGGATGTTTGTGAGAAGCAAAGTCATTTACCAACAAAAAGCCAACCTTTTGGAATCCACCACACCTGAGTTTAAACTTAGCTCCGTGCTTGTGGACATGGGCAAGTCAGTTAACCTCTCTGAGTCTCAGTTTTGCCATAGACAGATTGGGTCTGATCAGTGGTGGTATCAGAGAACACTGTAATGAGAGCTCACAGACCTGAAGGGAATGAATATTTTCCTCTGACATTGTGGAAACTTTTTGTTGCATGGTGATAATAAATCTCAGCCCTGCCTTCTGTAAGTTGTATTGTTGTTTTTAGATTCTCTACAGAAAGTGTACTCTCCTACTGCTTTAACCAATGAGGACTGCTCCACTGCCCACCCATGTTAGCCCACTGGGTGTGATTGCACATACTTAAATGAGTTACTGTGAAGTTGAGTTACTGTGAAGTTAAGATGAAATCAGAAAACTGCTGGGCACATAGTTTTCAGTCATTCATTCCCACGTACTGATTGTGATAGAGTGGCAAGCAGGCAAGATAGAGGACCAACTTAGTAAACATGGAAGCAGACATTTAATAAATGGTAGCACAGACTTTGGTTTTGACCTGTTTTTAAATACTTTTCTAAGAATGTTTAGTTTTCACCAAAGTTAGAGCTGGTTCACATATATGTTGTTTTAGTTGTACTCATATTCCTTTTTCCTGGCTTCATTTTGATTCACAATTCCATATTTGATCTAAGTATTATCTGTAGGTCTTTTAATAATTTCCTGTCATCCGTCTCTCTCTTTTGTTAACAGTTGTATTGACATATAATTCATATGAATACACTTTACCCAGTTAAAGTATACAATTCAGTGATTTTTAATCTGTTCACAATGTTGTGCAACTAACACCAAAGTCAGTTTTAGAACATTTTCATCACCCTGATAAAGAAGTTCCCTGCAAAATACACCAGCGCCCCACTGACAATACACTCTACCTCTCTGCTGGTTCCATAATCTCTTATAATGGCCACACAGAACTAAGAATCAATACTAACAGTTACGGGGTTTATTAAAGAAGTTAGCAGGTTACAATTCTGGATTAGAAATGCTCAGGGCACCGTTCTTCCAGTCAGGAGAGTCTCTCCTCAGCCATGCCCACAGCAGACCTCGCCCTGCTCAAGCAGTGTTACACAGCTCCTTTAATGTTGCTGATAAATGATCGAAGGACACACCACTCCACCAACAGCCTCAGCCCAAAGACACTCAACTCTATAGTCCATGGGTCAGCAACCTAGCTCCCCAATTTGGTGCCTAGAGGCACCTCACTCTGAAAACAAGCCTTCTAAACAAAGTCTCAGCTTAACTTGCTCCGTGAACTGGGAAGTCCACAGCTCTACCTAGCGCTCTGGCTCTTGGTTCTGTTGCTGCTGCTCCTCTGCCATAGCTTTCTCCTGGGTGGAGGAGGCTTGATGCATGGGAATCTTGAGGGCCAAAGGATGCACTGTACTCCTGGCTCTTTCTTCTTTGATGGTAGTGACATCCCTCATTCTTGCTTCTTAGATGGTTTATTTTATACACATTAGAGTTCTGAGTTCTTACAATCACAATTAACTGTTAACCACTCACAACTAATTCCTATTATCCTACCAGCATCTTCTCCAACCTTCTCTTACCCAGAGCCAGCACAGCAAAGCCATTGTTTGAAGTTTCAAAGACTATGGCTAAAAGACACATTCACTGATTCACTACACTCATTAGAAGTCACACTCCAGTTCTGTCCATACCCCCAAAACCTAGGCAGCTACTGGTTTACTCTCTGTCTCTCTATTGGCTTGCCTATTCTGGACATTTCATGTAAATATAATAATAAACCATTTTGTCCTTTTGTAACTGACTTCTTTCACTTATTAAAATGCTTTCAAATTTTAGCCAACTTATAGTTTGTATCAGTATTTCATTCCTTTTTGTTGTCAAGTAATATTCCATTGTGTGGATATGCCACATTTTATCCATCTATTTGTTAATGGACATGTAAGCTCCCAATTTTTTACTATTATGAAAAATGCTACAAGCATTTGCAAATGATTTTTGTATGTTTTCAGAAATTGTTGGTTGATTTGGGAACTGTGTTTAAACTTTTAAGGAACTGCCAGACTGTTTTCCAAAGCAGTTGCATCATTTTGCATTTCCACTAGCAGTGTTTGTTGTTAAATGCTGTCAAGTCAATTTCAACGTATAGCGACCCTGTATAAAGGATTTTTAAGAAGCGACTGGTGGATTCCAGTTTCTTCATATTCTGGTCATTCTAGTGAGTGTGATGTGATAGCTCATTGTAGTTTTATTTACATTTCCTTGATGTTTAATGAAATTGAGCATCTTTCCATGTAGCTAGCCATTTGTACATCTTCTTTGAAGAAATGTCTGTGTATATCCTTTGCTTGTGTTTTCTTTGGGTTATTTGTCTGTGTTTCCTGTCTTTTCATTTGGGTCTGAACAGGATGCTGATATGTTAACTGGTGATGAGCAAGTATGGAAGGAAGTTCAAGAGTCCCTGAAAAAAATTGAAGAACTGAAGGCAAATTGGAGTATCCTTTGACCTGTGTACTAAGTTGAACTGTTTGGATTGCTTATTTATTGGTTTGAGCCTGGTATCAATTGGACTAAATACAGTGTTTGACCTCACCATGATCCTTGCTGTGTTTCATACTCACAAGTTATATCCTGACTAGGTCAACAATTTGAGTAATGGCTAGGGGAGATTGTGAAAAAATCATGAATACCTCACCACCATTAGATAGCAACCCAAAATTCATGGTTCAATAACATTAGGACAGTAAGTAGTATTCTCTTTATATGCAAATGATTCCCATCTCCCATAACTATCTACATCTCTAGAATAGAATAGCTTAGAATCCTTATAATTTAATGTCATTGACCTTCAGATCTAGAAGCTTCATATTATCCTTAACTATCATGGCAATAAGAGTCAATGCACCAAAAATTTTCTTGGCCTAAATAATAAAGACCATGAATAGATCAACATTCATAGTAAAGAGAGATTATTTATGATGGAGATCATCATGTTAGGTCCCATTGATGTTATATGTTGTGAGAGGTATGATGTTTCAGGATAATGCACTGGACCACAAGGTCAGTTTGAACTGCAAGATTGGTGGTTCAAACTCACTAGACACTCCTCAGAAACCCTATTCAGGGTCACTATGAGTCAGAACTGACTCAACGGGACTTAACAACAATATCCTGACTCAGAGACAGGATTGGGGTAGATCATCCATAGGAGAAGAGTTCATGTAAGCAAGAATGTGGTAATGAGAAATCATAGTTAAGTAGAAAGAGAAGAGAAGATCAAAATAATTCAAACAAGATCATAAACGACTATTCAGATACTGTGGATAAATCTTTCCATTTGTAATAACCTGCAAGTGAAGTTTCTAATTTAAAGATCTGTAAAGGACAGGTAACTTAATTAGGTAAACATTTCTATTTTTATTAGTGGAATAGCAATTTCTGAAATAGGTAGCTCAGTGAGTTTAGCAGTCCTGGTAAAGAATCTAGAATTAGTCACTAAAATAATGGAAAAGAAATCTGTGATTACCAGGATGCTGTGGGGATTCACTAAGAGCAAGTGAATCCATAGATTTATGTTTCACCATGTGCCTTTTTTTGGTAAAATATATTTGGCAAAAAATATTCTAGAACTATCTGCTGTTGCTGGTGGTGGTGCTTATGTGTCATGGAGTCAGTTTCCATTCATAGTAACCCTGTATAAGGTTTCTGAGGCTATAAATCTTTAAGGAAGCAGAAAGCCGTATCTTTCTCCCATGAAGTGGCCCAAAGATTCAAGCTTCTGACCTTGTGATTAGCCGCCTAACTCGTAAACACTCTGCTACCAGATATTAACAGAACTAGGTATCTTACTAAACAATTAAGTAACTACACTGGAAAAAGTGATGCTAATTGGATCACTGTCACCCTGGGGACTGGGTCCTCATCTTAGTCCTCTTCAACCTTTGATTCAGTGCCTTGAATGAAGATAGAGAGCACAGGCTCATCCAATTTCCAAAGATGTGTAGATGAGGAAAATGGCAAAGGAAAGATGATAGAACCAAGAACTCAAAAGAAACCTGTAGGTTTAAATAATGCCTTGGCCAAAAGAGGTGAAATTTAAAAGGGTACATGTTAAACCTTCTATTTAGGTCAAAAAGTTCAATTGTATAAATATGCATAAAGCGTAACAACAGAGCACATGGAATCATTTTAGAGTTTTAGTAAAGAACAAAACATAATAAAGTTTGACTATGATATAACCCTCCTACTAAGACTGCAAGGTCAGTAGTTCAAGCTCACCAGCTGCTCCTTGGAAACCATATACAGGACTGCTGTGGGTTAGAATAGACTTGATGGCACTTAACAACAACAAGAAGACTACTTGACTTGGATTTTATTAATAGAAATATGAAAAATAGGTTGAGAGACGATATTATTGATGCACGTGGAATTTTCTATTTAGTTTGAGGTAGAACATGTTAAGAAGGATATAGAAAATTTGAATTAAGTTTTGAGGCATATAACCATGATCAAAGAGGAATTAGAAACCCTGTCTTTGATGGGATGGAAGATCCTGGGGAAACTATAAACTCTGGGAGCAAGAGAGTTGTGTTCGTGGACTCAAAGACTTTTGACACTGATGAGGACTAGATTTGTTTTGTAGGGTCCTGTGCAGCAGAATTAGGACCCATGGATGATGAAGCTGCATTCCATCTTGATTTGACAGGGTTTTGCTGAAAATGGACTCTATAGCCAAGGACTACGCTAGGTACTAAGGACCTACTGAGTAAGAAGACCTGCACTTACAACTCGCACACTTACTGGGGCTAGAAAATAAGTAAATAAAGCAGTTTTTAGTAAAAATATATATACTCTAAGGTCACTGATTTCAAGAGGCTCCCCAAGAATGGTGATAATTGAGCTTCATCTTGGATGGTCACCATGCCAACCAAGTGAAGAAGGGCAGTCCAACAGACAGAACAACCTTTGCAGAGACATAGAATGAGATACAAGTAGCCTGTAATTGAGGGACTGGACCAGTGGTTCAATATGGCAGGAGGGGAAAGTGGCAAGGTGTCCAGTGTGCCATGGACAAGAGGTCAGCCTCTACAGGTGAAAGTGGACAATGGAGGGGTTTTTAGCAGTAGACTAATATGATTAAATGAGAAAAGGCCTGTGGTCTTAGCAGTCTCTGAGCCTCAAGAAGTTTATTAAATCCCCAAGTGAATTTACTTTGCATTCCCTAATTCTCTTGTGATCTTTTAAAAAGTAATCGGGTGGAGGCGGGAGTATATATATCCTGTCCATAGGTAATTGATTCTCTTTGGATGTGCTGCACAGCCCTGTGAAGGCTCAGAGCTCAACTCCTCACTGGAACAGAATAGCGTGTAGTAAACAACGAGCAAATGCCAGTGACTAAATCTTTGAGCAAATAAATGCCAGCATTAGCTTGGGAAAAAAGCCTCTTAGTAAAATTATTCAATTTTTATGCTCGCTGGGGTGTTTTACAGGAAAGATTTTACCTTGTTTGCCAGGAAATAGCTGCCAGTGTTACAGAAGGAAATTGGCACACAGTCCCTTCCAGCTTGCTGGGGGATAAAGTAGATGTGTCCCTGTGAGTGATTGCAGAACATCACATCTGATTTTTACATTTAAGACTTGTCACCTCAAACTTCTTTAAAAGTAGGTGGAGCATATATAAATGAAAAGGCAAATAATGGTGACGGTCAAACAACATCACGTTAAAGTAAGGTATAAAGGCTTGCTACAGAAACGTCTAGCATTGTGTAGGAGGCAGCCTCTCCTCCTGACAGTTTGTTAAATATCTAATCCTGGAATGAAAAGCCACAGAGGTTAGCCTTGCAGTTTGTTACAAAATCAGTACATTACCTAAAATATGGCTTCCCTGAGTCTCTGGGGTCTACATTCAGTCTCTGGAAGACAGAGCTATCTTTACATATATGTGGCAGATGAATGCAAAATAATACCACCAATTCACTTATCTTAATAAATCCACATCTTCCAGATCCTGCCTCCATTCCTCAGAGAACAGGACTGGTCCTGAAAGGATATGTTGTTAGTAGCTGTCAAGTTGACAGAGACTCATGGTGACTTTCTATACAATAGAAGGAACCATTGCCTGGACATATGCCATCATCACCATCGCTGCTACACTTGAGCCCATTGTTGTGGACACTGTTTATTTTGAGTACCTTCCAACCTAGGGAGCTCATCTTCTAGCACTATATCTGATAATGTTACTTTGTGATGTATACAATTTTCAGAAGTCGTTCTTCTTCATCTGGAAGCTCTGCTGAAACCTGTCGACCATGTGTGACCCTACTGGTATTTGAAATGTTTGTGGTATAGCTTCCAACATCATAGTAACATACAAGCTGCTACAGTGTGGACAAATTATGGGGTGCACTGTACAGAACATCTGATATAAAGGGTCTCATTGGTCCTTGAGATTCTCACCAAGAAGTCATGCCTTTGGATAAGGTATGTTAAAAGTATACTATGTTTCCCGTGAGGGTTAATACAGATATTAGTTGTCTTGATTCTCTTATGAACTGTGTTGCTCTGAAGATGTGGACACTAGAAGAGGTAAACTTTGATGGAAGGAGAGATAAAGGAATGGTGTAGTATACAGTCAGCTGTCTGTTCAGATGGGTATACTAGGTTCAGATACTGATGAAGAGATGCAGATGAGCGGTGGATTGTGAAGAGATCGGATCCTGTGTAAGAGTGGGGTGTGAGATGAGAAAGTCTGATCACACACAGTCAATGAGCAATTTTTCTTTAGTCATGTTTAAGCCAAGTAAAGGAAAAGGAAGGCACTAAAATTTGTACAGCATGTACCTTGTGCATGTCAGTAAATATTTCCTCAGTTACCCCTGCTGCTAAGAACTCTGCCTGGCTTATAATGGAGCACATATGATTTTTTTTTTTATTACAATATCTTGTTTAATTCTTAAAATAAGACCAGGCATTTCTATTTCTATCCTATTCCAAAGTACTTAGGTCACTTCCTCAAAACCTCAAAGCGAAAAAGGACAGAACTAGTTTAGATTTTAATCTAATTTTATCTGCGTTCAAATTGCTTCCTCCATTGGTTATGTATATTTGGTTTCATAGATGCAAAAGATTCAAATGACCTAGAAGCAAACATAAGCTCCTTTTTTTTTTAAAAAAAAAAAAAAAAAAAAAAAAGAATCTCTCTAAAGTTTCCTTAATTTTTAATCAGTTTTAAAACAAGTTAGCAGAGTTAATCGCTTTAAATTATTCAACTAACAATCTTTAATCCAGTTTAATAAACAGCTGCATTTATTTCATGGCTAAGTTTAAAGTGAATGTTGTTGTTATTATGTGCCGTGGAGTCAGCTCCAACTCATAGTGACCCTGCACAGGGTTTCCGAGGCTGTAAATCTTTACAGGAGCAGAAAGCCTCATCTTTCTCCCATGGAACAGCTGGTAGTTTTGAACAGCTGACCCTGAGGTTCGCAGCCCGATTCACTATGCTACCAGAGCTCCTTAAAGAGAACACATATAAGAAAATAAAGAGAGAATGGTTCTTTGGAAAATATAATTCCCCCCAAACGCAGGCTCAGTTAGAAGGTGTTCTGTTGATGTAAACAGAAATTCCTTAGCAGAGATACCACTTAACGTGTTTTTGTTCCTCAAATGTGTTTTCAGGCAGCTCATCTGTACAAATAAAGGGTGCTTCCTCCCCTCCTGTGCCTGGGAGCTCTTCAGTCTTGTAGAGAATCTCATTTTACTTTTGTTTTTTTCTTGATGAAGACAATGAATCCTTAACTAAGGTTAATAACAGAGTGGGAACAGGTTCTGGCAATGTGCCAGGCAATTATAAGCAGCAACTCTGAACGGCTTCCCGACATCAACATCTTTCAGCTGAAGGTGCTTGACTGCGCCATGGATGCTTGTATCAACCTTGGCTTGTTGGAAGAAGCGCTCTTCTATGGCACTCGGACCATGGAGCCATACAGGTAAGTCCTCAGGAGAGGGATCAAGTTAAGGCTAGGATATTTTAACTTTGGGTAAAAGTCTGACACTAAAGTTATTCTGATTATTACTTTATGTCGCATTTTTCCAGCTACCTCTCAATCAGTGTGTAAAATCAAACCTTGCTTTGTTCATCCATTTATACAGTTTCTCATTGTTTGTAAAAGTTCCTTCCATGTGTCAAGCACCATAGGTGTACAGAGACTAGGTGTCATCTTGATATGGAGATAATGATTACAACATGGTCTGGTTTGCAGTGGCAAAGACAAACCAGAGTGCAGTGGGAGTCAGGAAGGAAGTACCCAGAGGGGTCCGGCTCTGTCTGGGGATGCTGTGCATTAGCTCTGCTGATCCTGCTGGGGTTGGCTGCAGTAGAGCCTTAGGTCCAGCTCACAGTCACAGTGGCACCTACCATTTGCCAGAGTTTTAAGAAGCTCTGGTAGCGTAGTGGTTACAAATCGGGCTGCTAACCTCAAGGTCGGCAGTTTGAAATTACCAGCTGTTCTGCGGGAGAAAGATGAGGCTTTCTGCTCCCGTAAAGATTTACAGCCTTGGAAACCCTGTACAGGGTCACTATGAGTTGGAACCGACTCCACAGTACTTAACCACAACATGAATCATAGGCTGCTTTTTTACATGAGTCTTTTGCCCTCAGAATCACATTAGGCATGAGGGCACCTAACATTAAGTCATGTGAGGAGCTGTTAGTAGTATGTAGTTTTTACTGGTCTCAGTTCCTCCTGGCCAATGGGTGTTTTGCTACTGGGGAGTTCTGAGGGAAAGGGCAGGGCTAAGAGTTTAGTGCTGAGAGCCTGACTGGTAGTGGGTATGAACCTCAGTTTGGAAGTAGACACTGCCATCACTCCAAGGGAGAGAGCACAGAAGAACACATGCCATAAGCTGAGGTTGAACTAGTTAAATCTCCACTAGAAAATAAGGTCACTGCTAGATAGATGCCTGAAAGCACCTGGTCGGATATGTGGGTGTATGCTGGGAGGGGTGGAGGAGATGTGTTGTCCCTGGAGAGCAGACAGAGAGTGAATTTCTGAGCTCTTGTGGAGTTATAGGATAAAGCACTGGGCCCCGAGGTCAGTTTGAACCACAAGGTCAGTGGTTCAAACTCCCCAGTCTTTTCATGAAAATCGTATATGGGTTCACTATGAGTCAGAACTGATTTGATGCACTAACGACAACAACAGACCATACCAATATGACGCTGAATCAAAGGGGCTAAAATGGGGATGAATCAAAATCTAGACTTGTGAGAGAGCAGGCAGAAGAGGGAAGCCAGAGCCCAGAATACTGCCTTTTCCTACTGAGTGTGAGCCTTTGAAAATAGCTGCAAGGAGGAGTTACATAACAGGATTAACACAACAAGGGCACAAGGGAATCCAGAATCTGATTTATCTGACAAAAGTGGTGATGGTGATTGTGTCCTATGGAATTGGCTCCCACTCATGGTTTCAAGTCTGTAAACTTTCATGGGAGCAGAAAACTTAACTTTCTCCTGTGGAGTAACTTGTGGATTTGAACTGCTGACCTTGCACATAGCAGCCCAGCTCATAATCCGCTACACTACCAAGCCTCCTTAATCAGACAAAGATGGCTTTTGTTAAGTACTGTCGAGTCGAATCTGACTCATAAAGACCCTATAAAGGGATTCTGAGGAGGTGGTGAGTTTGAACCGCTGACCTTGAGGTTCAAATTGACCTTGAGCTTGAGTGCTTATCCTATGGTGCTACACCAGGACAAAAGTAGGAAACAAGAAATGAGACACTTGGTCAGGGACTTGGTGCAGGCAGAGAGGAACTAGGCACTGGCAAAGGTCCCATCAGCCAGGTGGATGGTAGAGGTCCACAGGCCAGCCATGGTGACCCCAAGGGTATTTTCAGAATTTCTGTAGGTGGTTTCTTCATTGCCTGTGGGTGAACAGCTTTGGAATCCAGACTGTGAGTCAGCTTTAATCAAACTGAGAAGAGGTTGCCTTGAGGGCTTGGACTGTAGACTTTCCCATGAGCAGGGAGCTGCCTATTCAGTATGATGAATCTTGTGGTTCTCAAAAAATTTGAATCAAATACAAAGTGATAAGGCTTCATTCTCTGAGCCTCCGTGTTGTAATGAGAGGCAGGTCCCAGGACGGTTACTATTACCTCTCTGAACTCAGTCTCAGGAAGTCAAACCACAGGCTGCTGTATGAATGGATGGACTCCAGCCAGGAAGTATCAACTGAGAAAACTCTTCCTTCCTCCGGGCTCCCTGAGACCCCCCACTAGCCTTGTCCTGCAGCCTAGTGATGGATGTCCTCTGACTCTTCCTGCCCATCCATCCCCACTAAGACTTCCAGGCGACCTACTCAGTCCTTTCTGAAGCACAGAACTTCAAAGTGGTCCATCACTTTTTATCAAAAAAGGCCACACATTTTCAGGGATGCATGTAATTTTGAAGCCTCTTTTCCCCAAATCTACCTGACTCCTCTGAAGGACTGTATTACCAGTAAAACCAGTTGCCACTGAGTTGACTCCTGGCAACCCCACATGTCTCAAAGTAGAATCATGCTCCATAGGGTTTGCAGTGGGTGAGTCTTCTAAATTACTTAACCTTCTAATAAACTGGTAATTTAACTGACTACAAACTTGTGTTGAGGCCTTTCTTGAAAGTACAGTCAAGCTCACCAGAATATACCCCCCAATATTTGGGATACATGTGGTATAGTCTCTCTGTAAATGTACACTCTGTTTTTATGCTGGTGACAAATCTCCAACATTCCCTTGAGTTTCTTCCCTGAAACTTAGTACAGAGTTTCTAGAGTTCAGAATTTCAAGAAATCCAATTTGTATCGATCCACTGCAAATGAGTGCAATATGAACATTTGCTTTCAAAGTTGTAGTAGAAGCAAGAGCTGTAAATAATACTACAAAGTTAAGAGAAATGGGAGGGGTAGATACTGTCGTACTTTGTCTTTTTTTTCCCTTAGATGAGGCGATGTTTCAATAAGGAGACATGTACAGATGACGCAAGGGCTCTGCAAGCCCTTCACAATTTGAGAATGTGAAGTGGGAATAGGGGCCTGGCAGTAGTTCTCACCCCTTTAGTGTGCACTGGGGAGCTCTCACTATGCGCTGTGAGCTAATCCACACCGTCTCCAGGCATGAGCCCTGTGTGGGCTTTGTGCTCACCTTTCTCCAAGGATGCAGACCATTAGCTAGGCATGAGTTACTGAGGGCTGACTGGATTACCATCTGTGGGAACAGTTTTACAATGGTAATATATACTGTTTGCAACAACTTGATTGAGGTTACCAGTCAAGTTTTGAGTGGTGGTTTTGTTACTTCTGACCTTGACTAAATTTCAGCTGCTAACCTTAGAAGGGAAGGATCTGTACCTGTTCAGTTTCATCCAAATCACTGCATTGCCCTCAGCACCCTTTTTCCTATTCTGTCACCTCATTTTCACTTATGAGAAGTAAGTTTTTTATAATTCAGAACAATGTCAATTCCTTTACGTTTCATAAGGCAAATTGGGAATGATTCATGTACTAGAAAATATGGACTCGTTAGCATTATCATAGTATTTATTCTGAGAATCTCTGTGTATAGACCCAGGGTTACATATGCAGAGTCACCTGTCCCTTAGATTTATAGACACTGAACAGAATGAAAATCACTAAACAATATTTCATAAATTGTCATAGAAAATTTAATTCAGCCCGATCTTAACCAGAGCACAATCAAAGAGTTAGCTTGCTTATTGGTAACTGGACACTTGGACTTCATTTACCTGTTAAAGACAGTGAGATCGATTATTGTGAGGTCCCACACTAACCCAGAAAAGTTGATTCAGCTGATACTATCACTTCTCAGGACCTTCTGTATATTTACACACATATGCCACAACAAAACAAAAAGAAGAAAACAATATAGAACATAAGTTATTTTGAGTTATATTGAAAATTATTTTCTTCTGTGAACCAGAAAGTGATAAGGAATCCTGGTGTAGTACAGTAGGGTAAGCACTGGACCATTAGGTCAGTTTGAACCACAAGTTTGGAGGTTCAAATGTGCCAGCCACTCCTCAGAAACCCTGCACAGCATTGCTGGGAGTCAGAACTGGCTCAATGGCACTTAACAACAACATGAAAGTGATCAAGAGATATGGAGGCATTGTAAAGTTTTGAGGGCCAATTCAGTACAGTCACACATCTTCTGTCAATTTAGTATTTGTTGTAAGAATATTAATCACTGTTGTTGTTGTTGTTAGGTGCCATCTAGTCAGGTCTTACTCATAGCAACCCTATGTAAAACAGTGCTGTTTGAGCCCAGTGTGGCTGCCACTGTGTCAGTCTATCTTGTTGGAGATCTTCCTTTCTTTTTTGCTGACCTCCACCTTACCAAGCATGATGTGTTTCTCCAGGAACTGGTGCCTTGTGACATCTCCAATCAGACAATCATAGTTTACTATGCCAGGAATGACAGATTGAAGAAGAATGGTGTCACATTCATTGTCAAATGAGCATTTTAAGATCTATCTTGAAATACAATGCTGTCTGTGATAGAATAAATCAAGTTTATACCAATATTATTCAAATTTATGCACCAACCACTAAAGTCATTGATGAAATTGAAGAATTCTACCAACTTCTTCAGTCTGAAATTGATGAAACTTGCAAGCAAAATGCATTGATAATTATTGGTGAGTGAATGTGAAAGTTGGAAATAGGAAGAATCAGTAGTTGGAAAATATGGCCTTTGTGATAGAAATGATGTAGGAGATCACATGTAGAATTTTTTAATAGCAATAACTTACTCATTGCAAATACCTTTTTCAATAATAGCAACTATGCATGTGGACCTCACCAGATGGAATACATATGAATCAAATTGACTACATCTGTGGGAAGAGACGATGGAGAAGCTCAATATCATCAGCCAAAACAAGGCCAGGGGCCGATCGTGAAGAGACCATCAATTGGCTCATATGCAAGTTC